AACAGAATTACAAATGTCTATAACACACTTATTATTAATTAAAGTTTCATATTTACCCTTAATTAAAATTTCATATTCATACTTAAGAGAAGTTAAAAAGTTGATGTGTTTTTCTAAGAATAAAATAATTATTAATAAGGGTAAAATTAAAAGAATAGACTTTAATGTTATATTAAAATTAAGATTAATAAATAAATTAAGATACTCTCTTATAAAAAGTGTGACAAATAAAATTAATTTAAACTAATATATTTATCAAATAAAACAAGCAGCCTTCCTAAAAAAGTGTGGTAAGTTTTGCATTAACTTGACATCAACTAGTCTAAACCCACAAGGAAGGCAAATGAAATTTGATTACTTATGTTTACATTGCATACTTGTATGATTAGGCTAAACATTCAAACACGCTACCTCAAAACTTACAAAAGAGAAGTGAAATTTGTTGTTGAATACATTGGATACACAAGATAAATACATATATGGTACATCTTCGGAACTTCGTACATAGTCCTTGTTCCTATTTTAGTTTCATGGTGTCATGGTAAACAAAGGAGAACCATGTATATGTTGCTAAAAGCAACAATATTATATATGCATCTTGGCTTCTTAAGCAGTTGGATAAGAGGCTTCCATGGCAATGCCGCAGAGTCCCTCAGGAGTATCAATATCTCTCTCCATCGTTATGTAACCCTCCATGCCCCAACTATAGTACCCCATGTGTTTTTCACCAGCCAATACTTGGTCCCATCCGATGGAGTTCCATACCCAATTGCAGTCACCCCATGGTCTAGCTCAGTCCCCCACTGACCAGTGAACACTCCGCTGGAGTAGTGCTGGAAATCAGATTCACCAGCGTCAATGGCAACTGAAACAGGCTGTTGTGCCACTGCTTTCAGCAGCGCTGCCTCACTGTTTGAAGGCACTTCTTCATATCCGGTGATCCAGGCAGCATGGTTGGATTCCTTCACGCTGTTACAGCTTCCGTTAATTCCTTCATAAGGATAGTTGGATTCGGTGGTGAGGCCTTTGTTTGAAATGATAAACTCAAAAGCATCATCCATGAGACCGCCTTCACAGCCTTGGTCCATTCCGCTTGTGTCACAGTCAACCAACTCTTGCTCCGAATTTAGATTAATTTCCCCATAGTGATCTGAGTAATCCCTTCCATGGCTGCCACTGCAGAGAACGCCCAGCAAACTCCTACATTTATAACAAAAAAGAAAAAAAAAAGAAAAAAAAGAAGAGAGGATATAATATAACATTAGTATTTCAACCTTTGACCTTCCTAATCCCACATGCGATACTGTGCAACTAAACTAAGGAGATATAACTTACTGCATTGGCCTTGGTCCTTGATGGGAGTTACGGCTCCTTTCTTTTTCCAATCCACTGTGGTGGAACGGCAGCCAGAGACGCATTTTCGTATTTGAAGGAAGAACTTTTTGATGATGAGAATAAATTTCTTGAGGAACGTGGTTTGTAACCATTTCTCATGGCTTTAAACTCTTCCTTGGTCAGGTCTGTGAAGGCATTGATTCCTAGCTTGTATTTTTTACCCGTATTGGCATTGTGGGATTCAAAATACTTGACATTTTCCTGAAAATTTTGAAAACGGTTCTCCTTCTCAGCGGTATCTTTGTAGAGGCGGCCATATTGAGCCAACCATTGCTCGAACCTTTCCGAAATGGATGGCTCGGGAAGAGAACGAGCCGAGGCAAGTGAAGCTGAGAATCCCAAAACGAAGATCAGAGCAAAACAGAGGAAATGGGAGTGAGTCTTTTTGGAAGTCATGGAATTAGATTTTGAGCGTTTGCTTCAGGAATTGTTTATAATGAAAGAAAATTGGCGGCACGCCACTTCCCACAATGGGTTGAGGCTTATATAGAGAAAGTCTTCCTAGTGTTAAGCTATGCTTCTCTAAGGAATTGTAAAGGACAAATTCTGCCTTCACCGTACCCCAAAAATGTTCTGATTAGGATTTGAATTTGCTCTAATTAGATTGTTTCTTTTCCAGGAATAACAATATGGTTCTGTTTTGCATTTAACAATGGCTATGCTTGTGACAAAAAAACAAGTAGCCTTTTAAAACCGTTTAGACTTTAAAATATCAAGAACTGCTACAAAAATTAGTTGAAGTGGTTTGCAAGAGCTTGAACCTGTACTCTTCTTCTTCCCCTTCCTGACAGACCTAAATCACTTATTCTAACATATTAAAAAAAAAAAAGACAATTAAAATTAGTAATTCGAGCCAAAATTCCGGGGACTTTCTTTATTTTAGATGGCATGATGCCTATCAAATGAAATTTAAATATGAAGTCAAAATTCTGGATTCAGTAAGTAGGCAAAAATTTCTGAATCCAAAAATTACGATAACAGATTCAAGATACCTGCACGCAAATTTCACTGCCAAAAAAAAACAAGAAGATTATATATTTTTCTCTTAGAGCGTTGTCCTTGCATGGTGACAAACAGGAGGAGCAAATAAGCAAGTTAGCGTAGTGGCACACATTGATTATGACCACAACACATCCCCAGCTCCACAACATTAGTGCATTTAGTCATTGTCATTCTAATTTTCCTGCCACGCAACATTCTACAACAACTAATGTCTGAATACCTTACAACAATCACAAAATCCTTCAAGATTCATTAAACATGAGATTCAAAGCTGAAATGTCCTGGTAATTCCAAAATTATCGATAAGGCATAAAGTGAAGATCAAAACGAGGAGCCTAGTGGTTGGTAACCAGTAAAATAAGACATCCATGCAATACTAATAAAGCCATGTGATCTTACACTAACTAGATTGACGCAATTCGGGGCGAACAAAATCTGCATCTGGAGGAACTGAAATGTCAACTGTTGGTCTCAACTGAGCACAGACTTCAATGGCTCCATGAACAGGATCAGAAAGGAAGTTGCTTATTAGGTCTTGGTTGATGGGAGTGCCTGCATCCACTGCTACCAAGGCCTGTTGGGTAAGGATGTAATCAAAACGAGGAGCCCACTTTCTTGATCCCAATCGTGCAGTTGTGGAACAATTATCAACCATGAATGAGACTCCTCGAGCATGCATGAAGGGGTTCAGAGAGTCAACAGCTTCAATCAAACTCTCATTGATGATTTCTGAGTATGAGTGTCCTTTTTTCCTCAACAACTCAATCTGAATTTTTTAAAATGAGGATGAGTGAACATGTCCAAAAAAATTGCTTTGACACAAACTAAAAGTTACCATAATCATAGGATCTATCCAATATTAAAGATGGATGAGTACCTGAGCCATCATCAATGCCACAAACACCCCAGCAGTGAAAGGATGCAATGGACCTAAATCACCTTTGGGTCTTACTGCTCGAACACGCTCACCAACTTTCCACATCCGTGTTTGATCAATCTTACCCATTGGGAAGGCAGGTAATCCCTCCTTCTCCTGTTAATAAAAATAGCATATTAAATTCACAAAGCTCGGTTGTAATATCATTTGTATGACTATAAAGAGCAATAGAATGGTATATGAACACACTTGAAATCGACGTCCAGCCAAAACAACACTGCGAATCTCACTTCCAGTAGCAACATCTTCATAACACTCATATAGGATGTCCATACAAGGATAATATGAAGCACTGTATGCAGCCTCAAATTGCTTTTTGCCATCCTCTGACAATGAGTTGTACACAGCCAGCATGCCCTGTCAAGAAAGGAAAACAAAGTTTAAGAGTCAACAATAAGTGCAATCTCCCCAGCATACATGAGTGGCAAGAGGGGGTGAGAGAACCTTTGTTGAGATGGTCTTTGATACAATTCCAGTGATGCATTCAACAGTGTTCTTGTAAGCCAAGTCTTCACTCATACCATTCTCAACATACCTTCTAAACAAGCACTCCACAACTCCATGAACAGCACCAAGTAAGATACCTATGGTCCAAGAAAGAAAAAGTCACATGGTATAAGAAATAAAATTTGATGAAGTAAATGGAAGACAACAGATTCAATAAAACAAACAAATGAGCATACCTCGTTCCCCAAAAATATCACTTTTGTACTCTTGCTCCAACGTGGTGGCAAATGTAAAAGGAGAGCCTAAGGCAACCGACCATCCCAAGGCAACGTCTGTAGCCCTACCATCAACATCCTGCTCAAAACTCATAGATTAAAATTCAGCAAAATTTGGCAAAATTGATCACAACCAATTGATGCACACAAATGAGACAGACCTGATGCACAGCAAAACTAGCATTGATTCCTGCACCATTTATTTCTTTACCCTGGACGTAGAGCCTCCTCACTGAAGGCCCCATCCCCTTGGGGCACACAGCAATAACACTAATGTTTTTAGGAAAATCAAACCCCATTGATTGTAAATGACCAAGAAGAAATCCATGTGAAAGTCCAAGGATGCTATTTGGCTTCATGTGGGAGAAGACCTTTTCATGGTTATCTGCCTGCAATGCACAGGAATAAAATCAGTGCCTCCTTGAAATATTCTTATGTGAGAATTAAAAAAAAGAAAAAAAAAAAGGAGGAAAAGAAAAGAAAAGACAGGAAAAAAAAAAGAATATAAAGATAAAGATAAAGAAAATCACAATTCTTGTTTAGATATAAGTTGGTCAAAGACATACTTGCTTGCAAAAGAGCATTAGAATTCAAATTCTAATTAACAATTATCTGATGCATAGAATATCTTGGAAATACCAAAGGCTACTGCTAACTCCCAGAAGTTCATCATATTCCAAGCTTTAGTATAAGTCATCTTATGCATTTAACAAACTTCTATTCAATAATTCAATACTAAAAATAAATGAGATCAGTTTGTGCATGATAAAGAATGCATAAATATTAAGGGTCTGCAACCTGTGCTGCATCAGAAATCAACAACAACACAAGATCACTGCCTGCAATGGTTTCCCATATATCACCAAGAGTTCCATTCTCCTCAGAGAATCCTGCAGCACGAGCTTCAGCAAAAGAACGGGAGCCCTTCCTCAGCCCAATCTGCATTTACAAGCAACCAAAATGAAATTTATTGTTAACAAAAAATGAATGATAGAGGACAACTTATTATTCATTATCCATATCAAATGCAGTCATAAAAAATATAGCACCAACATATCATAAAGTTCAGAAAAAGGATAATAAGGAAAGATGATGGATTTGCCTTCACTACGATGTCAGATTTTGCCTCTGCAAGAGAATCCCTCAAGTTCTGTGCTTGAGCAGGCCCCTGCAAAAATAATTTAAATCACATTACATGAACAAAAAATAGAAACAAGTATTAAGAAATCATAAAATCAATTGATGTAAATAAGCAAACTCTAGGGCCTATCAATGGTAATAAAACCAGATAATGAAGCTAATAAGTCTTTCCTTCTTATGAAATCTAACTTACAAATGAAGCATTTCAATCCTTAACAATACTGAAAATCTAAAAAAAATCAATTTAAAAAGAAATTTAATGTTCTCTGTAATCATATTACAAGCCTGGATACTATAAATAAATCTTAAGTTACAACTATAACATTCATGATCGAGTTAAATAAATAAATAAATAAATAAAAACAAACTTAACGCTAACTTATTCACAACAAAATCCGAAGCTGTGAGGTTTAACCTGAGATCCCCAACCGATTACTCCAATTTGCTTAATGCCCTTGAATGCATCAGGCAATAGATGAAACAGATCTCGCCCACCTCTCACAATATACTGCCAAATGATAAATATGAATCAAAAAGAAATTAATCAGATAATATAGAAAGACACAGGCTCTAGCTTCGTTGACAAAGTTTCAATCTTTAAGGAGGGCACGAGGTGGTAAGAAACCTAGAAATTTCTACCAAAAAAAAAAAATCCATTATTTTCCTTATTTTGCGTTTTGGGAATTTACCTCGTCGTGACCCGCGAGACTGATCTTCTCCTTCTTGAAAACGGATGTATCGAAATCCAGCGATGTAATGGGGGTGATAGAAGGGGAAGAGACCATCTTAGCGCAGAGAGATGATCTGCCGTTGGATGATGCATTGTTTGTGGGGGCACGAAGGATCAGTAATTTTCGAGTTGATGAATATGAAGATGATGATAACACAAACCCCAGATTAAATAGCTTGGGTTTGGTTTCAGACAATGGCAATGGTGAAATGGAAAGCTGTGCTCTAAAGGAGGTGGCGGCGGCCATTGCTGGAACTGGAAAACAGAATAAGGGAAGACTAAGAGCTGAAAAACTTGAGAGTTTGCTGGAGAGAAGAGAAGGTGGTGGTTTAATCTAGGGCAAAATGAAAATGGCAAATAAGTCCCTGTACTCTTGAAATGATGCAAATCAGCCCCTCAACTAAAAAATAGATGCATTTAAGCCTTCAACTTATCAGATGGTGGTATATAACCCTTTGTTAACAAATAGGTTAAACCACATTTTTGATCCCTCAACTATTGTATAGACCTCGAATTTATCCATGAACTTAAAAAATTTCTAATTTAGTCCTAAAAGTTTAGAAATTTAGCTCCAACTTGGTCTCTCTATTAAAACATCACTAACTTGGCATGTTACTTGATGAGAGAACAATAACACATCAAAACATTAATACATGTAAGGAGACAGTATAGTAAAAAAATAATGACATGGCAAAAAAAGGAATGACATGGTAAAAAAATGTTGACATGACAATAGAAACTTAAATTTTTTTTTTCTTCCTTCCTCTTTCCTTTTCTCTTTCCTTTTCTCTTTCCTTTTCTCTTTCCTTTTCATTTCCTTCACCTTCAAGATAGCACTACCTTCCCGTGGTTGAATTGCCTTGAACCCTCTCATCTCATCGACAATGACCACCAATATCCATGTCAACACTCTCAAAGGCATCATGAACATCAACTCTCACTTCACACTCATTGTCTTCCTTGAGTTGAGATAGAACCCCCCTAACCCAAACGACTTTGTCAAGTCCTTATCTTAGATCTTAATTATGCTCCCATTTCCTTTCATGTCTACTCTTGATCCACCTCCATCTTTTTCACCAAACCCCAAATCCAAGTCCTTGAAAAAGCATAAAAATCCTCTAAGGAAAATACTCCACTACCACATCTAAACTCTTAATCATCTCCAGCCATCAGGATGAAGAGCTCGTTGCCACCACACCCATCCTCCTCCAACCCATTCAAGCCCAAACACTAGCTTAATGTGAAAGCCTTGGCTAAAAATGTTGTCACAGGAGTTTCCAATTCGAGTGTTAAGGATGGGTTTTTGTTTGGTTGTTGAGAAATTGGGACCAACAATAAGCAAAAGGAGAGAATATTGGGTTGTAGTGATTTGATTAGCCATTGCCAGAGAATAAGATTGCTCCAACCATGGTTTTCCAATATGAGTTTTCAACCAAGAAAAATCTAAGATCCATGAAACATGAATGAATAAAAATAAAATCAAGGTGTTGAAGGAGAGATATCCATCGATGCCCTAATTGATATTAGTCTTTGATGAGATAGGGATGAAAAAAAGAGCAGTAAGGTGAACTAGATCTAGTTTTTTACTTGGATTCTATAACTTTAAAGAACCATGAAGAATATAATTAAGAGAAGAAGAAAAGAAAAAACAAGCTGTTTTTAGAAGATGTAATTCGATGGGAGTATGTTGATTTACCAATTTTTAGAGTCGAAACCATGATACTAATTTGGGAATATGATAAGATGAGAGAAAGAAGCTGATGGCAAAATTATTATTTCATATGAGGGTAAAGTTATAATTTAATTTAATTATAAGGGCAAAATTGTTATTTCATTTGACATGTCACCATTTTTTTGCCACGCTCTGTTAAAGTGTTTTGATGTGTCATTGTCTTCGGTCAAGTAACATGCCAAGTTAGTGATTTTTTAATGGAGGGATCAAGTTGGAGCCAAATTTCTAAACTTTAGGAATTAAATTAGGGATTTTTTAAGTTTATGGACCAACTTGAGAGCCCGTATAATAGTTAAGGGACCTAAATAGGGGTTTAACCTAACAAATAATGCTAGCACTCTGGTTAATTCAAAAGGAGAGCCCATTTTTTGTGGGCCTCATAGGTAAACAATCTTTTTTTTGGTTACGGAACCGCATGGCTAATGTTGCATTATATATTGAGAAATTATTTATAGATAATTTTTTATATAATTTTTTATAATTTTATATATTATTTAATTACTAATTTTTTTCATTATACTGAAATTTGTGATATTATATATATATTTATTTAATAATATATAAAAATTATATAAAAAAACTATATATATATATCATAACACTTGTATATAGATACATGAGGTAGTCTAAAAGATTTGCTTTTAGCTGAAGGGCTGATTTTTTACCATTCAAGGAGTACTGCTTTTCCCTTTTAGTTTTCACCTTGATTTAATGCGTTATTTTGCTTTATACTCGACAACCGCTACCTTGCAAGTGCAACCCTTCGTATGCAATACCAAAACTTTAAAAAATAGTATATACTCCGTTTAGAAAGAAAGAAAGAGAATCTTATGTACGAACTACAAATATTTGATCCTTTTTTACTATAAAACAATATTAGATCTTTTCTCCCTTTATTAATTTTTTGGGTTTAGTTCTTAATTTTAAGTCTTGTTTAGTATGATATGTCAAGAAAGACAAGTTCTTGTGTTATTATTTTTCGATTTGTGCGTGTTTATTGCACTATGCCCTACGTTTTGCAGATCTTTGATGGCTTCATACATGCTTTATTTAAAAAATTCAGGTGTGAACTTAAATGGAATCGATATATAATTAGTTGTGTGAGTTTAATGGATTTTTTTAATATAGATTTTTAAAGTACATATTAACAATATTTTTTTATAAATATATATAAATTATAAAAATTAACATTTAATATTATTGTTAAGTAAAAAAATTTAATTAATTAATTAATTAATTAATTAATAAAAAATTAATTTTTATTTTTTAACATAAATTTATAATATAAAATATATTTATTAAATTTTCAATTAATGTCACACATTTAAAAAAAAAAACCCTTTAAAATATATATGAATTTTCTTTTCAAACACTCATACATGCACGAATTCCCAGCACTGGCACTAGCACTGGCAGTGTCGTCTCTTGGTTGTTTTTTTTTTTGGTAAATGTCTCTTGGATGTTTTGAATGGTTAAATGGGTTGTTGGGCACTTCTTTTGGGACATGTGGGTTAATTTATTGGATGTTAGGCTAAAAAATTTCTAGGAATTTGATTGCCGTCGCGCTATAGAGACAAATGCTTT